GGTGGGCAGGGAGAAGAGTGCAACAATGAATGACTGGAAACCCTAAGTCTCTGTAAACTTTGATTAAAATTTAAAAAAAAAAAAGAATGAAGTAGAAGGGCTATAGAGGGAGAAGTTGGCTGGCCTTTCTGGAAATAACTGTTCCTTTCTGCCCTCAGCTGCCGCTCAGCAGTGATGGAACAACACTTATTCTGGAAATTTGAAGGGGCAGTCGTGGTTGTGGCCTTGGTCTTCGCTTGCCTTGTCATCATTCGCCAGCGACTATTGGACAGAAAGGCTCTGGAAAAGGTCCGGAAGCAAATTGAATCCATATAGCCACATTCTACCCTTTTATTATAGTTCTCAAAGACTCTACCTCAGACAGACGAAGAGAATAAACTGACTTGGACCCTCTGTTCTTCAGAACCTTGGATAGTGCTCTCTCTCCCCATCTTCTTCAAGACCATTAATGAGCAGAATAAAAGAGTGAAATAGCTTGTTTCCTTCTCTGCTGCCCTTTGGTCCCAGGAAGTCATGCAGGGCAGAGAGAGAAAAAGGGTGGCAAATTTAGGTCCCATTTTACTCAATACCAGTAATTGCTCTCTTCTGTTATTTATTTAGGGACTGCTTTAGTGGTAAACAATTGCACTGCCAACCCAAAGGCACATGTTTGACTCCACCAGCTTTTCTATGGGAGAAAGATGGGCAGTTTCTTCCTGTGCTATTTACAGCCTCTAAAAACCTACTGGAGGGTCGGCTATGAGTCGGTTCTGACTCAACGTTACTCAACAACAACATTATTTATTTAGAACTTCCTGGATACAATTTCAGCTAAAAGTTTATTTCTCAGCCAAAACTTTATTTTCCCTAATCTCCTTCTCGCTCCATAAAAAGAAAATCACAGATATATAACAATAGTAAAGGTGCCCTGGTCACATTAGAAAGTCCTCAAGTGATTTTCAGACCCTTGAAGGCAAGGACCCTTGTGTGTTGAGAATCCCAGGAACAGGCAGAAATATAGAGGAGCCTTGAAATCCTTATGGGGGTTAGGAAGTAGACAAATGTATTCAGGTCACATCTCATCTGCATGCAGCACAGTTCTGAGAAGCCTGCTGGAGCCTGTCTTTCCTACCATCTTCTTAAGCTGTGTCCTTGTTGAGCCATTTGCACTCTTGGCCCCAGAAGGCATCCACAATCTGGACTCTGCCAGTAGAGTATCTAGATACTCTGGCGTCTCCTTGTGGGTCAGGATATTTCTGGAAATCACTGTGGGGTGAAAGAAAAAGGGCCACTGTAGTAGACTGCCCCACTTGGTCCTTGGCCCTTCTCACATCTTGACTGTATGGCTGAGAGAACCATCTCGACTCACCATGAGTCCTCCCTGCCCTTGCCTCTCACCTCCTTGAGGCTGGTAATCTTCAGGCCCAGCTTCTGGTGAATTGTGAAAGGGGCTAAAGCTGGGCAAGATGATGAGAGCCAGGGAAAAAAGAAGGATCTAGAAGGAAGCAAGAAGATATTTGAGCTGTGCAGACAATAAAGGAAGGGAGCAGTGGGTTCTGAAGTCATCAGGGATAGGAAGAAAAGATGGGGAATAGGGGTATTGGGATGGAAGTGTGTGGGAGATGAGACGTTTATACCAGAACACAAGTGCTAGTCTGGGCAGCTTTGTTGGAGGTTTGGGCAATGAGCATCTGCAGTTGTCGGAGCTGAGCCACCAGGGAGCTAGGAAATGAGGAATGAAGAGTTAGTACACGTGAATGAAGAATAAGGAAACAGCATTCAGGAATGAGATCCTGTGTGCTGCATTCCTCCCCTGAGCACGTACACTCATCACTCATGCATACAAGGCTTTCACTTACATGTTGTGTCTCTCCAGCTCCTGAACTTTTTTCTGTAGTTCCTGGTTCTGTGCAGAACAGGTAGCAACCCTAGGGCATGTGGAGGAAAATGGGACAACACTTGGCAATCATGTGAGCTCTGACCTTGTCTGTCCTGGGGAGGAATGGTATCCAGATTATTTGGTCTCCAGAGATCCAAAGATGTGCACCGAGACCTACCCTACCTGCTCTCCAGCCCATCGATGTATTCTTTCTTTCTGCGCCGACTGTCCTGAGCCGACTGCTTGTTACGGATTTTCCTTCTGACTTTCTTGAGGACTCTCTCCTCTGCCTGGGGGCCATAGTGTGTCAGTCTTGAGCCCTTTACCTCCCCAAACTCCTCTAGTCTTCTCTGGAATCCTGGCCCCTAAGAAGCCATTGCAGGGCCTTAGCTTGGGATACCTTTTGAGAACATGTTACCTTGGTGAGGGGTAGATGAGAAGGCAGGGAAACCCCTTCCTGCCCCAACAAATGTTTCTCCTCATCTGTCAGGAACAGAGTTTGATGTGGGAGCTGGTGGAGGACAATAGAAAATGAGACAGGAATGGGGAAAGGGTCATCTTGTATATAGCACACTGCTGCCCTACCTCCGCACCCCCTTCCCCAAGGCTCCCGGAGTTTATTTCCCGTTTACACTGGGGAATATAGCTCCATCTACCTGAAGGAACTCACTGTGGTGAAGTTTAATTTCCCTGTCGCAGGTAAATGATACACTTTCAGCACTAACTTCCATTTGGCAAGTATGTTATCCAATCCATCATCCACAGGGAACTCTCAGAGCAGTGACCCCATTCTCTTCTAGGGTTTGAGAAGACTGAGATTCTGTCCCCATTTCAGATAAGAAACTGCCTAAGGGCAGCCAGACTGAACCCAAACAAGCAAAATATTTTGGGAAAGTGGATAGCATTTGGTTGGCTGTCAACTGTGGGATAAGGATGGGCAGTCTCCACCCGTGTGATTTACTCCCTCTGAAAACCTATTGGAGGGTCAGCTATGAGCTGTTCTGACTTGATGGCACACAGCAGGCCCTCAATTGAGTAACCTGCCTTTCTAATAATTACTTTTTGTAGATTTATGCTTTCCTATTTAATATTTTGCTTTGTATTTTGCCTCCTGATAAGTCTTTGGCTTTTAACCAAACCATTTCTTCTACCTCTGTCTTTTCTTTAGGCTCCTTTCTTGCCCCTGTGTCTCTTTGTTTGACAGTATTATAGGGTTGTCCTTCCCAATCCCCTTAAATCTCAGAATGAGGCAATTCACTGTTGTTGAATTGATTCCAACTCTAGGGACCTTCTGTCAGGTTTCTGAGACTGTAAATCTTAATGGGAAAAGATGGCCACCTTTCTTCCTCTAAGTAATTGCTAAATTCACACAGCTGACCTTTCAGTCAGCAGAAACTACTTAACACACTAACCTGCCAGAGCTCTTTGAATGAGGCCCAAGGATTTTCTTTTACAAAAGTGACAAGAATTCTCAGGTGATTTGCATAGCACACACATGCTTAGACACATCAGACCTTTTAAAGCTCCTTACTCCAGGATTCTAGGTTTCTAAGATGCTTGGCTGCCTTTAAGGAAGGCAGGAGTGCTTTCCAGGATAGAGGGAAGGAACAGTGACTTGAGCATGCCTCCTTTCTTCCGTTAACTACACCAATTGAATGGGTACAGCCAGCCTTGGGAAGGTATCTGTGACACTTGGCTGCACTCCTGGTCACCTGGCTACCCTGTAGCTCTGGCCTGTGGTTGCTACTGGGGCAACTGTTTCACTGGAAATCCTACTGCAGTAGCTTTACCTCCTTCACCCTGTTCCCAGCATCCAGTTAGGTTCCTAGGGGATCTGTCCCATTTCCATGTCCTGACCTAAGGCTGAAACAATGACTGCACACAGTCTGGGCATTCTTCTGACTCCTGTCTCCAGATTCCCTCACCTCACCTCACCTCACCTTCATAATTATTGAGTCACCACCTACCCCCAAGGGCTTCTATCTCCCTTGTTGTTTCCTACTTCTAAAGTTCCCTGTATCTTCCTAGTCTTCAGGTCTTATAACACAAAAGTTGGGGCAAATGCAGAGCTCATTATTTTTCCCCCTCACCCTCAACTGTATGGGCACATATGTGTGCATCAGAGGACACTAGAACCGGCTGATGCGGAAACTCACCAGCGTCGCAGGAGGCACTGGGGCTACAGTGGCAGCTTTGGGCAGGATGTGGGCGTGAGCACTAAGAGGCAGCTCACTGACCATGCAGGCGTTAGGCATCATAAAGGAGGAATTCCACTGATCTGAGGGAGATACTGATAGTTAGAGGAATAGAGTTGGAAGACATACCTTACTGGCAGCCGGATCTGGGTAGTGGCATAGGTTGGGGAAAGCCCCTTAATCTCAAGACCTGAAGGACCATTGTCCCCTTCCTATAGGTAGCACTGACCTAGCTGGATGGAAATGAGCCCTACTGTTGGCCCAGCTTCCCCCTGTATACTTTCCAGGGCCCCCGCTTCATATACAACTTCATAGAGAGCAGGAGAACTGGGGGCCCTGGGGACTGGGGGACTGTCTGGGCGGCCAGGATCCTCGGAGATGCCACTGTCACTGCCAGGAGATGCTTCTGAACAGTACACTTCATTAGGATCAATGAAAAGCTTCAGGAAGTCTTCAGGCTCACTCTCTTGGAGACCCTATAATAGGAGAAAGAATGTGTATACAGGGAAGAATTTTGGAAGTTTTCTCTGGTGAGCTGGTGCTTAAGAGTTCTGCTGCTAACAGAAGGGTTAGTAGTTCAAACCTACCAGTTATTCTGCAGGAGAAAGAGACTGCATTTTGCTTCCATAAATATTTTAAGTTTTGGAAACCATATGGAACAGTTCTACTTTGTGTCACAGTTTCTGTCACAGTTAATTGGATGGCAATAGGAAACTTGATAGCAAGCCTATACCTTCACTCTTCAGTTTTTATCCCTTCTAACTTTGGGCAAGGGAATAGTTAAAACTCAAAATTCGGGGTTCTATTCCAACTTCTGCCCAAGTGGAGACTGCAGCTTCTTGGAGCTTCCAGTCACAGTTCAGCCTCATCCCCACCCACATTCCCACCCATCACACTCACACAGCCATGGCCCCCACTGGGCTCCCAGCCTTGCAGCCCTGGTTCTTGTGGCCTGGTCATTGGGACTTCTGAAGGAGGACAGTTGAGTCCTAGATCCAGGAAGGATCCTGTGGAGAAGACATCTTCTGGGGGCTCCAGCCACAAGTCCAGCAAGTCAGAGTTTCCGAGGTTCATCCTTCTGCAGGGAAGAGTTGGGGAGGCATTGTAGGAGGAGGATAATGCCTCTCTTCCCCGCCCGCGTTACCCCTTTCCTTACCTGTCACCATGAGATGCTGCGTCGCCTCCGGCCTTATCTCTCTAGTTCAGACCAATAGACCCCTTGGGTATAACGTGTTCAAAGAGAACCCAGCGCTACCAAACCAGCCTGACCCGCTGAGGGCCTCCAAACACTACACCTTTTCTTTCCTCCAGGATCTAGCATCCTGGACCAGCCCTGCCAAACTCCGCCCTCAGCCTTACACCAGGAATGTGGGTTGCACCAAGCCAAGAGCTACGATAGGGGCGCTGTATCCGAGAGTAAGGGTTTAAGAGACTGAAAGCGCGCACACATATGAAGATAATATAGGCTGCCACGCCCTCTTTGCCTCAGTTTCTCCTAGCTACGGTAAATCTTGAACGTTCCTCAGAGAATAGGAGAAATGACTGTGGCTGGAGCACTGGTTGCTTGAGTGGCTGTTGTCTAGGCATTGCTTTTATGAGAGCCCACAACAGGGTTGAGAAGGAGAGAGTTCAAAGGGCCCGATAAAAATGTACAAAGAAGGCTGCCTTTCTAGACTTTCAGGTTTTGAGGGACAGGACAGTGGGCCAATGGAATTACAGCCCAGGAAAATCTTTGCTCTAATTGGTCAGAGTAGACCATGAGCGAGATAGGACGGGAGTACGTGTTTGTCAGGCGGGGATTGGGTTCTGGCGGAGCACAGGGAGGGGCCAGAGCGGAAAAAACCGTAAGGAACTTGGGGGAAAGTTACGAGAATATGGATAAAAGAAGCCTAATTTAGTTACATCCACCAGCAGTGCTGCGGGAGAAAAATGGGCATTCTCCCTGGTCATTTACAGTCTCAGAAAACCCACTGGAGGGTCTGCTATAGGTCGGGTCCGGCTCGACCGCAGTAAGTTTTGAGTAAAGAGTTTTATTCCTCTTGACACGTGACTGTGAAGTCCAGTTTATCTACCTAGACGGAAAATAATCAGATGAACCGACTTACGTGACCGAGCTTTGACTCAGCTAGTGGGAAACCGAGCAATCACGGGATGTCTGAGGCCACAAACTACATAAAACCATTGATAAGAATAGCAGTGTCATACATAAACTGTTAAATGAGGGCCAAAAAAGTAACTAAATCCAATGGCTTGGCATGAATGCTTATAGCGGTGATCCAAGAATGATCTAGGATGACCCTAGAGGACAGAGTGGAACTGTCTCATAGCTTTTCCAAGACTTTAAATCTTTACAGAAGCTACATCTTTCTTTTGTGAAGCAGCTGGTAGATTAGAACTGCAGACCTTTCAGTCAGCAGCTCAGTGATTGCCCACCGTCTGACAGTCAGAAAGTGAAAAGTCTGGAAAATGGCAATTTAAAAAAAAACAAAACAAAAACCAAGACTCTAAGAAAGTTACTTGTCTTATTGCTTGAGCAATATAGATAGATCTACATGTCTAGTTTACAAAACATCTCATAAACATTGTTCATTAAACAATCCACAACACAACAGCTGAAGTAGCTAGAGCTAGTAATACTTATTTTGCTGATGAGAAATCACAGTGAAGTCAATGACTAAAGAAAGGAGTGTTATGGACTGAATTGTATTCCCCAAAATAAGTATTGTAAATCCTAATCTCTATTCCTGTATTTAGGGATCTCTGGTGATTTAGTGATACAAAGTTGCACTACTTACTGGGAGGTATGCTGTTCAAATCCAACACCAATTTTTTAGGAGACTCATACACAACAAAAACATTTGTGGTTCTAATCTCATTAGGAAATGGCCTGTCTTTGTTATGTTAATGAGATATTGTTGTAGGATATGTTTTAAATTAATCTCTTTGGAGATACAAAAGAGATTAAACATACAAGTGAGCAAGCAACAGAGGTGGGGGAAAACCACCCAGGTACAGAAGCTAAGAAGAGGTAAAGACCTGAGCTGACTGACGTCTCCTAGAGCCAGCACCCTGAACTGACACATCTAGACTCTGAAGCCAAGGGACTCTAGTGGCTTGTGGTAAAGAGGTACACTGCCACACCAAAGGCATATAGTTTGAATCCACCAGTTGTTCTGTAGAAGAAAGTTGGGGAATCTCTTCTCTTGAAATTTACTGCCTCTGTAAACCCTGAAGAGTCAGCTAATGATTGGTTGCCACAACAATAGGCTTTGAAAACAAGAAAATAAAGTTCTGTTTGTTAAAGCCATTCATTTGTGATATTTCTTGTTACAGCAGCACTAGATAGAACTAGGACAAGTGGAAATACCGAAATTCAGGGGCCTTTTGGTTTCACTTTTTGTTTTCCCTTGTTGTCATGACTGATGATCTAGGAATTTATTTCAGATAAAATTATGCCGCTATGCTGATAACAACAACAGTGCTGATATAGGTATGATTTTCATCTACTTGCCTCTCCAGTTAGTGCCTCTGGACAAACCAGTATAAGTTGGGTGTCAATCTAAAATTCAAATTGGTGTTTCTTTTCCTTGTGAAGATTTGAATGGGTTGAAGGGTAAAGATGGGAACAAAATGTAACATTTATTGAATTATTATTATAAATATGTCATTACCATCAATTCAGAGCAGACTCATAGCTGATCCTCCAGAGGGTTTTCAGAGGCTGTAAATCACATGGAAGGATACTCATCTTTCTCCTTCAAAGCCACTGGAGGATTCCAACTGTTAGAGGCACTGGCCTTTGGGTTAGCAGTGCAATTTCCTATGGACTATCCAATGTAGCCAGCCCAAATTGTTATTATATGCCAGGCCTTCTCATGTTATTCATATAATCCTCTTAGTAATTTACAGTCCCCAGAAAGAAAGTTTCCAGTGCTCCTCTATAAGTAACTTAACCAAGATTTGGCTGTCTGAGCCCATGCTCTTCATATAATACCAAACTGCCTTTCTGGGACTTTCTGAACCTTTTCTGAATTTGCCTTCTTTTCATCTTCTTCCTACGTCCTGCATCCTGCTCATCAGTAAAAAGACAAAGCATGCTTCCTAGATTGATGCAGGGCTACGAGAAAGTAGAGCCATTTCTGCTTAGATCTTTCCTAAAGCAAGAAGAAAATTAAATGTTTGAACATGTCCAAACATGACTAAATGGAAAAACAGCTTCCCATATGTTAGAATTGAAAGGAATCTCTGTTATTTTCCCCTTTAACTTCCTTCTTTTCTCTGATTGATTAAGGATCAGAGTGGGGAAATGACATATCAAATTAAGGTCTACATTCTGGCTTTGGTAGGTTTTACTGTACAAAATATCATTCCTTTCTCATACAACCTCTCTCTCAATAAGTCCTTATATTATCTCTATTTTCCTTTCCCCTTACATTATCACTTAAAGAAATTATTGACTTCTATTTCCAAAGTGGTATCAGAGACATCTGGGAAGATAGACGGGCAGTCTCTCATGTGATTTACTGTCTTTGAAAACCCTGATTTGATGGTACAGACACATACACAAAAATTTTTTAAAAAGAAAACCCACTGGAGGGTCCATTTTGAATTGGTTCTGTCTCAAAGACAAACAATAACATTCAGTTACATCAATCTGTCATTTCCCCCCTCTAATTGTGATTTAAATGAATGTTTACAAAGCAAATTGGGTTTCTATACAGCCATTCACACACACATTTTGTTTTATAATGTTAACTACAATAACCACTATGTAATAACACTTTTCTGATTCGTTCCATATAATTTTCATTTCCATTAATCTTTATCCTATCCATTCTTGCCATGAAGGCTTTAACTTTGGGGAAAGGCTGCTCTTTTGATCTCATATAGTTGTTATTCTAAGGTGATATAGCACTAAGGAAGAACTGATACCTTTGAATTGTGGTACTGAATATCCCATGAACTGCCAAAAGAACAAACATCTATCTGTCTTGGAGGAAGTGCAACCTGGGGGCTCTTTAGGGACAAGGATAGTGAAACTTCCTCTCACAGACTTTGGGCATATTGTCAGGAGGTATCCTTGAAAAAAGACATCATCTCCTGAAGGCACATGGTTCGAATCCACCAGATGTTTTGCTGGAGAAGGAGGGGCAATCACTTCCTGTGCCAGTCGGATTCAACTTGATGGTACACAACAAGAAAAGGGGGAAAAAAGAAGAAAAAAAGACATCATGCCTGGAAAAGTGGAGGGATCAGTGAACAAGACCACCCTCAATGAGATAGACTGGCACTAACTGCAACACTGGGCTTGAGCATGGAGATTTGAGGATGGTACAGGAGATTGCCAGCTTTCAGTTTGTTTCCACCAACACTTCCACAGCTGAAAGATGGGTAGTCTTGCCCCATTAAAATTTACAGCTTTGTTGTTGTTGTTGTTATGTACCCTCCAGTTAACTATGACTCACAGTGACTAATGGCTCTGAACCTATCCTGAGCTAACTTCATATTTGACACAACTGTCCCCATTGTCAGTCACGGTGTCAATCCATCTCATCTTCCTTTTTTTTTAAATTTTTTTTTTTGTGTGTGTGTGTGTCATCAAATTGGATCTGACTGGTACAGGAGGAGATAGACCCTCCCTCTCCAGCAGAGCATCTGGTGGATTTGAACCATACACTTCTGGGATTGCAGTTCAACTTTTTCACACTAGGCCACCAGAGCTTCCTAAGGGTCTTCCTCTTCTATGCTGACCCTCTACCCATCCAACGATGATATCCTTCTTGAAGGACTGGTCCTTTTGAGCACCATACCCAAAGTGTGTGAGATGGAGTTTAAAAATTGTTGCCTCCTACGGAGCTCTGGTAGCCTAGTGGCAAGACGCTGCACTGCAATCCCAGAAGTACACGGTTCAAATTCACCAGATGCTCTGCTGGAGAAGGAGGGGGCAATCTCCTCCTGTACCAGTCAGATCTGATTTTGACGGTACATGTAAAAATAATACAATAAAAATAATAAAAATTGTTGCCTCCAAAGAACAAGTTGGCTTCATTTTCTCCAGAACAGACCTGTTTATT